TGTGGGTTCGCTGATGTGGCAGTTTGTGCTGGTCCCCTGTTTGCGCTCAGATGACTTGCCTCCCACCCCCCGCCCCTGATTCGCCTTGCCGTGCAGGGCAAAGCAATGGCACCGTGGGCAAGACACCGTATGTCACCACCACCCACATGGTGGAGATGCGTGACGGCACAAAGCTGCACACCATCGTGTTTGAGCCTGTCAAAGACATTGGCAAGCACAAGGCCGCAGTGCTCATGCGTACGCCTTACGGCGCCACTGGCTTGAAAGGCCTCGGCGAGATGTGGGGTACGGCCCACTGCACACGTGTTTGTGTGTGGGTGGGTGGGTGGGTGTGTGGTTGGGTGTTTGTGTTTGTGTGGGGGGGGGGTGTGGGTGTCTGTCTGTCTGCCTGTGTCTGTTCCTGTGTCTGTGTCTGTCTGTCTGTGCGGTCGTTGAAGGTTTCATGTCGCGTGGTGAGTGTACTCAACATGTCGACAAACCACTGCTGCACATGCTTGCTGCTGCAGTGGATCAAGGGTTTGTGGCTGTCATGCAGGACTTTCGTGGTCGTTACCAGAGCAAGGGCGACTTTATGTGCTGGTTCAATGCCACCAGCGATGGAGCCGACACAATCCAGTGAGCTCACACTTTGTGTGTGTGTGTGTCTGTGCGTGTGTGCGTATGTCTGTGTGTCTGTGTGTGCTTGCTGTAGTTGTCGTAAACAAACCTCAAGTTCATACAATTGTTTAGTTCACACTGCAATGTGCTTTTCTCGCTTTCAACAGCTGGATTAAGAAGCAGTCGTGGTCAAACAAGCGCGTCTTCGCACAAGGTGAGACGCACAGCACGAAGCGGGAAGCACGCAGTCGGCATGGTCAACTTTTCAAACACATACACACACATACAATCTTAGAACGCGCACTGCATGCTCACGCGCAATATTCACGCAATACGCACACACGCGCGCGCGCGCTCACACACATGCACTCACACCCCCACGCACATGCATGTGCGACCTTCCCACTGCACAGGTGTGAGCGCTAACGGCATTGCAGCGTATTTGGAGGAGGCGGATCCCTCTGTTGTGGAGGTGCTGCTCGGGCAGTATGTCGTCGTCGCCACCGCAGAGCTCCACCGCACCATCTTCCAAGGCGGAGGTGAGCACACACACACACATGGGATGCATGAGCGACACAGGAGAGATGGGAGCTGGACACGAAGACACACACACACACACACACACACACACACACACACACACACACACACACACACACACACACACACACACACACACACACACACACGCACGCACGATGGCGCATGTCCCTGCATGAGACAAGGGGGTCTGCATGCTTGGGCTTGTGTTTCGTGTTTGCTCATTCGTTGTCGGTGTGGCTGTTGCCTGCCACTCCATATCTCTACATCTCCGTCTTCCCTTCAACCCTCACCGCTACTGACATTCCCCTTCCCCCGTTGTTCGCCTTTTCCTTCAGCGTATCGCTACTCGCTCATCCATGGCTGGCTCGACGGCATCAAGGAACTGAGCTTTGAGCACAACTTTGTCGACAACGAGGCCTTCAGCTCCTTCTACGAGCCTGTCTCCATGACCGACAAGTGGAAGGATGTCACTGCCCCTGCTGTCCACCTCACGGGCTGGTATGACATCTTCAACCACGTAAGTGGAACGGGAGGGTGGTGGGCGTGGGGGAGGGGTCGTGCGTGCTAACATGCTTGCTTGCTTGCGTGCTTAGTTGCTGACTTTGCTTGTGTGCGTGCGTGCGTGCGTGCGTGCTTGCTTGTTTGGTTTGGTTTCGTTTCGTTTGATTTCATCGCGGGGACAGCGCAAACCACCCCTGCTCTCACACGACGCAACGACACGTTGTTCCGCACCACCGTTGTCCACGTGCCGTTTTGCAGGAGCAACTGCGCGCATACGAAGGCTATCAGACGCAGAGCACCATTGGTCGTGGCCTCAACTTCCTTGTCGTCGTGCCCACAGGCCACTGCCCAGGGGGCGAGGTACGTGTCCAACTGTCTGATGTTATTTCCTATGCCCGCCACCATTGCGAGAATACTTGACTGAGCGCCATCTTGTTTCCACACAATTTGCACCCACGAGCACCCTTTCCTTCTCGTCATCATCATCGTCATCATCATCATCATGACCATCATCATTGACTGCTTCACACTCCCGCCCCACTCGCCTGCCCAAACACACACACACACCCGCTCCAATTGTCTGCTGCAGGTGCCGTGGCCGAATGGCGTGAATGGCATCGCTGTTGCTGAGGCGCTGGCCGTTGCGCTGTTCAAGACGCTCGCCGCTGCTGCGGACCAAGTCGAACGCGCCAATGGCGGTGTGTTTGGTGTCGACGGCGTCGCCTGGGCGAAGCTCTCCACATCGCAGCAGACGGCACTCATCAACGACGTCCACGCGCGTACAGCTGCTGTCTTGCGTCAGGCAAATGCGCCTGTTGTGCAGTATTACGTCATGGGCCCTGCGGGTGCGAGCAGCGCCCCGGGTAAGGGGGCGGGCCCCTTTGGCAACTACTGGGCAGAGGCGGATGCGCTGCCCGTCGGCAAGGCGACCAAGTTCTATCTCAACGGCACGTCCGAGCTGCTCATCAAAGGCACTCCCGTCGAGGGCGGTAAGGTTTGTGTCTGTGTCTGTCTGTGTCTGTGTCTGTCTACGTTTGTGTGTGTGTGTCTGTGTCTGTGTGGCTCTGCCTGTGTCTGTCTACGTTTGTGTGTGTGTCTGTGTCTGTGTCTATGTTTGTGTCTCTGTCTGTGTCTGTCTACGTTTGTGTGTGTCTGTGTCTGTGTGTCTCTGTCTGTGTCTGTCTGTGTCTGTGTCTGTCTGTGTGGAGGATTTGAGCACCAAGCGTGGTGCAAATGCTTGTTAATTCCTCGTTCCCACGTTCTCTCCCCATCTCATCTTGCCTGCTTATTCTCTTTGGCCTCTCCCCTTCCCCATTTCCCTTCCAAACTCTCAGCCAAGGTGAGCTATGTGTACGACCCGAGCGACCCCGTGCCCACGCTCGGCGGTAACAACCTCCTCCTGCCCCAGTGCGGCCCTTACGACCAGCGCCAGCTGGAGAAGCGGGGCGATGTTGCCTCGTTCACGTCTGTCGCTCTTGAGTCGCCCGTCATTGTCAGCGGCGAGATGACTGCACAGCTCTTCGTCAGCACAAACTGCACGTGCGTCTCCCGTACGCGTGTGTGCGTGTGCGTGTTTGCTTGCTTGCTTGCTTGCTTGCTTGCTTGCTTGCTTGCTTGCTTGCTTGCTTGCTTGCTTGCTTGCTTGCTTGCTTGCTTGCTTGGGGTGCTGCATTGCGTGCTTGCTTGCTTGCTTGCTTGCTTGGGGTGCTGCATTGCATGACTGCATCCCAAGCCATCGACTCCAGCAGCTCACACACCCACTGCGTGTTCTTCGCTGGCGGCAGTGACACGGACTTTACGGTGAAGGTGCTTGACGTCTACCCCAACGGCACGTCCATGATGCTGCAGGATGGCATCGTGCGCATGCGCTGGGCGAACGACACCCGCGCCCCGCACCTCCTCACGCCCGGCAAAGTCTACATGGCTGAGGTATACACACACGCACATCCAGTCAAGTGTGGAACGTTGAGGAAAGGCGTGTTCGTCCCTTGCTTGTTGCTCAAGCACTTTCACCACACTCACTCACACACACACACACACGCACGCACACGCACACACGCACACGCACACACACACGTGTGCGCCAGGTGAGTGTGTGGACGACGGCGTACATCTTCAACGCAGGCCACCGCATCCGCGTGGACATCAGCTCGTCCAACTATCCGCGCTTCAGCGCAAACCCGAACACAGGCCGCCCGCTCGCCAACAACTCCACTGCCTCCATCCCTGCAGCCAACACCATCTACACGGGACCAGCATACCCATCTAGGTGTGCACTTGCGCCTCGAGTGTGTGTGTGTGTGTGTGTGTGTGTGTGTGTGTGTGTGTGTTTCGATGTGGATGCTGATGGGTGTGTCGTTGGGGCGTCTTGTTTCAACTTACTGTGTGCTTTCCGCGTCAACATCCACTCACACACCACACCACCATCACCATCACCAACATCTGCCACCATTACCATCACCGGCACCATCACCACCTGCCAACCCAACTCCTCAACCAGGCTCACGCTCCCCGTGCTGCCGAACGACGGCATGCCAACACCACTGGACATCGATGCGGTGCATGCGCGCATCAACGACCTGCTGGCGTCCCTTTGAGTTTCTCCAGTGCACAGCTGCCATCCCATCCGCTTTCCTCGTTGGCCTTGTGTGCTGGTCTTGTGCGCCGGCCTGTGCTTCCCCCCCCCCTTCCGCGCCAGTGTGGTGTGATCATGGTTGTTGGCTTCCACTGTGGTCGTGGTGTGATTGCTGGGATCGAGTATGCACCTCCTCCTGCGCTGTTAAGTTTCCACTTCTTCCTTCAGTCGACAGTCGCTGCTTCGTCATTGAGTCTTTCTGTTACATTACATTATGTTACTCTCTTTCACCAACGATGTACGTTGCTTGCGTGCACTCGGTGCTTACTGCAGAGCACTTGCCTCTTGGTTCTTTGTCCGTGTTCTGATGAAAAGAAAGCAAGCCACCATCAAAGACCAAGCAAGGCCGAAAAGCATACAACCTGCTTGGTGCACACTCAGGAGGGGGGTGGAGTTGCTCATCCTCTTCTCCTCTTCTCCTCTTGGTCTTTGTTCTTTTGTTGGATCGGTCCCTTGCACGAAAGCACGAAAGCACGAAGGCATGCGGCTGAAAGCAATAACAGAGCCACCATCACAAGAAAATGGTTGTAAGAAGCAAGCATTGACGGCTGACTATGTAGTTGATGATGATTCATCAAGGAGAAGTGTGTGTTGGAGCATGTGTACTCTGTACTATGTGTAGTGTAGACATCCACACTTCTTTTACATGCTGGCATTAGGGCATTGTGCTTTCGCTTTCCTGCTTTCACAGACACATCTCCAGCATCCCCAGGCATCCACAAGACACAACGTGTCACAAGAAGGACGAAAGGCACAAATCACGCCAGGTGTAGAGGCACCAAACAAGACGAACACAGGAGCAGCAAGACAGCAAGCAGACAGGCAGAGCCCCCTCCCCTCCGGCCCCCCCCCACACAGCACAGAGCACACACCAAAAGAAAAAACAAACAAAAAAAAAAAAAAAAACTGGCCTGTCATATCCAAGCACCGCGCCAAGCCAACTTGGCACAAACAAACCAGCAAACAAACCACAAGACACACGACACACACACACAAGATGGCGAGCAGACCAGGACCACCGCCGCCAGCGCGCAAGCCGGCAAAGCCTGTGCCAGTGGCCCCCAAGCCTGCATCCAAGCCAGCCCCAGTTGCACCCAAGCCAGGCGCAAGCAAGCCGCCACCTGCTGCGCCACCACCAAAGCCAGCGCCCCCAGCGCCCCCAGCCAGCAAGCCAGCACCTCCGCCCGCACCAGCCAAACCCACAGGGCAGCCACAGCCAAAGCCCAAACCGAAGCCGGCCCCAGCAGCCAAGCCACCCGCCCCAGCAAAGCCAGCAAAGCCCGCACCGCCAGCGGCAAAGCCGGCAAAGCCCGCACCGCCAGCGGCAAAGCCGGCAAAGCCCGCACCGCCATCGGCAAAGCCGGCAAAGCCGGCAAAGCCAGCGCCGCCATCCAGCAAGCCCAATGCACCGGCACAGCCACCGCCCCCAAGCAAGCCAGCCAAGCCCGCACCACCTGCAGCCACCAGTGAAGGAGGCGCACTTCCGCCGCCACCAGACTTCCTGCTCACAGAGTCCTCTCCACCCATCCTGCCGCGCGAGCCCGTGCCCCTGGCCAGCCCGGCGCCGTCCACACCACTCCAGGGTGCCGACGAGGACATCTACCAGAACGTGGAGCACCCGCAGAAACCCACGCTCGAGCAGCCGCCGGCAGAGGCGCCGCCACGCCGCCAGAGCTCCATCAGCACGAAGGCCCCACCCATTTCTGCACCAACCGCAGCACCGCCTGTCAGAACAACACCCGCTGCCACTGCCGCGCCCACAACGCCGTCTCTGCCGCCCCGCGAGCCAAACCCGGCAGCGGCTGTCCCGCCACAGCCCGTCGACTACGGTGTGCCCGAGCACGAGCTCTACGGCAACATCGCCCCCGCTGCACCAAGTGCAACAAGCAAGCCAAAGCTCGCTTCATCCACCCCATCGTCGGCAGCATCCACTGCCGCTGCCACGACGCTGCTGCCGCCGGGCGAGGATGTGTATCAAAACGATGACGTGGTGAAGGCAACCTTGGGTGCGGACACCACGGCTGCCACGCCGCCACTCGCCCCACGTGGCCCCGTGCACCAGCAGCAGCCGCAGCAGCCACCCACGACGCTGCTGCCGCCAGACGAGGACCTGTATCAGAACGAAGAGGTGGTGAAGCAAGTGGTCGGCAGCGATGCAGCAGCAACAGCAGCAACAGGAGGAGAGGCAACACCATCCCTCCCTCCTCGCGCACCCGTGCCGCAGCAACAACAGCCCCAGCCCACCACCCCTCTCGCCCCACCCGAAGAGGTCTACACGAACATCACGCCAGAGATGGCAGCAGCCACCACATCCACATCCACATCCGCATCAACACCATCGCTTCCCCCACGTGCCCCTGTTCCGCAGCAGCAGCAGCAGCCAACACTGCTGCCGGCTGGTGAGGACATCTACCAGAACAGCGACGTCGCAGCACAGCATGCATCTGGAAGCGAGGGCGAGCAAACGCCGTCCCTGCCACCGCGTGCGCCACTGCCACAGCAACAGCCACAACCAACAACGCCTCTCGCACCGCCCGAGGAAGTGTACACCAATATCACGCCAGAGATGGCAGGTGCGACTGCTTCCGACACACCGTCGCTCCCACCCCGCGCACCGCAGCAGCAACAGCCGGCACAACCGACCACGCCGCTTGCGCCACCCGAGGAAGTGTACACCAATGTCACGCCAGAGATGGCAGCGAGCATGGCTGAGGCCAAGCCGTCACTTCCACCACGCGTCCCGCAGCCACAAGAGCAGCCACAACCAACCACACCCCTCGCCCCACCCGAGGAAGTGTACACGAACGTCACCGCTGATGCGGCAAGCGCTCCATCTGCAAACCCAACAGCAAACCCAACAGCAAACCCAACAGCAAACCCAACAGCAACACCAACAGCAACGCCAACAGCAACACCAACAGCGGCAGGCGCGACGGCCCAAGCGGGCGAGCAGGCGCTGTATGGCGTTGCGCCCGAAGACATGCACGAGGACATCAAGGAGATTGTGCAGCACGTGACGGGACAGACCAGGGTGAGCATGACCAATGGTTGGCGTGGTGTGGGGTTTGGGTTGTTGTGTTCTCGGCGAGCGTGCGCGTGTGTGTTGGGGTTGGACCCACCCGTGCTGTTTGTGGTTTCTTACCCACCTTCATCTTTCGCGGGTTGTTCCCATGCCTGTTTGTTCGCCTCTCTCTGACACCCCCCCACACACCCACCCACACACCCACCCACCCACACCCACCCACACCCACCCACACCCACCCACACCCACCCACACCCACCCACACCCACCCACACCCAACCACACCCACCCACACACACACACACTCATTCCAGCTGCGCGCCGGGTCGCTGGCTGCGATGACGATGGACAGCATTCGCGAGAACGTCAAGGAGACGGCGGCAACCGGGTGAGGAGTTGCGTGTACACACACACACACACACACACACACACACACACACACACACACACACACACACACACACACACACGTAGTTTCACCTGTCGAGTCCAAACCCCAATGTTATTTATCCTTAAGAGCGTCGTTACAACTGCTGAGCACGCAGCAACGCTCGGCCGGGGTCAAAGAGTAAGCAAGCAATCTCTCGCTATCTACACTATTCTCGACCCCCAGACCGTGCTCTTGATTATGTAGATGCATGCTACCCTAACACATTAGGACCTGTTCCACAGGTGTAATCAACCAACAGTCTAACTAGAATATCACCACACCAGTAGAAATCAAGCTGAAGTACCATGCAGGGGCCGTCGAAAAAGCAACAGCAAGCTAGTGACACGGCTACAACAGGAGAACCCCTGATATCACCGTTTTTATACTGTACTAGACTTTTGTGTATAGTTCGTCCTGACCAGCCACGTCGGTCCTCATTTTACGCGCTTGCTCGACTTCACTAGATACGTACAGTCAACTTGTAATCTGGATGAGGTGTCCATCGGTGTAGGGCGGATCTGCGACAGAGGGAGCCATAGGAAAGCGAGGGCATTACAGCGATGGAAGAACGCCTTTCACTGGTCCTGCGAAGTGCAGTATAGAGCTCTTGGCAGTCCCACACACACACACACACACACACACACACACACACACACACACGACACGCACACACACACAAGCACACACACACACACACACACACACACACACACACACACATACACACACACACGCACACGCGGATGTGTGCACAAGTTGACGCCCAAAACCGCTCACGCTCTTTCTCACGTTATTTCTCGCGATGGTGCTCCGTGTGTGTATGTGTGTGCACATGTGCGCATGTCTGTTTGTATGTATTATTCATGCGCGTGTGTGTGTGTGTGTTGCAGTTGATCCAACTGCGATTGCGCGCGTGCCCGAGGAGAAGCGAACGGAGCTGATGATGAAGGTGCGGGCTGGCGAAATCACCGTTGCCCAGATGGAGACACAGCTGCTCGAGATTGGTACGGCACCTGCTGTGTTTGGCAATGCGTGCTGCGTGTTGTGCTGTGTTGTGTGGGTTGTGTGCCGTGTTGTATGTTATATGTTACATCATGCATGTACTTGTCGTGTGTGGACGTGTTCTCCATCCACCCGCCACACACACACACACACACACACACACACACACACACACACACACACACATACACACACGTTCTCTCACGTCCATGCCTCGTGCATCTGCACACAGCGACGAAGCAAGCGGAGGAGGAGAGCAAAGAGAAGGCGCTTCTGGAGGCTGTTGCCGAGGAAGACGAAGAGGAAGAAGAACAAGAGGGACAGGAAGAGGGGGGTGCAGCCACTACTGCATCTGCCGCTGACACTTCAAATCCGCTCGCAGGTGCACAGCAGTCCCGTCCGACACGCGAAGAGCTCCTCATGAAGATGAACGAGGTGCGCGGGCGAGCATGTTGGTGTGCGTGCGTTGTTTGTTTGTTTGTTTGTTTGTTTGTGTGTTTGTTTGTTTGTTTGTTTGTTTGTTTGTTTGTTTGTTTGTTTGTTTGTTTGTTTGTTTGTTTGTTTGTTTGTTTGTTTGTTTGTTTGTTTGTTTGTTTGTTTGTTTGTGTTTGTGTATGTGTGTGTGTGTTTGTGTGTGTGTGTGTGTGTGTGTGTGTGTGTGTGTGTGGCTGCCTGCTGTACTTGTACCTGCACTTGTGGCCTTATGTGCCCACCGCTCAACACGCGTCACGTCCCTCGCTGCAGATTGCGGCGAGTCATCTTCCCCAGGCGCTCAAGGCCCAGCTCCTCGGCACCCTCATCGTCGAGCTCTCCGCGCTGGTACACCATTCGCACCACCACCACCGCCAGGTGGAGGGGAGCGGGGGGGGGAGCGGAAGTGATTGTTTGCACATGCACATGCAGACAGGGCGCATGACGACGAACACACACACACACACACACACACACACACACACACACACACACAGACAAGCATACACACAGACAAGCACACACATGCTTGTATTTATTGTCCCAGGTATGTTGATCACATTGTATGCTGATTCTCACGTGTATCCATCCTTCGTTCTTCGGTCCTCGTTGCATGCGCGTGTGTGTTCAGGGGGAGGCGCCAGCGTCGCTGGTTGATCAGGCGTTTCGACCACAACAGCAGCCACCACAACAGCCACCACAACAGCAACAACAGCAGCAACAACAGCCACAGCAGCCACAGCCACAGGAAGATGCTGCCTTCTACGGGAAGGTGGACGAGTCTGCCGTGTCCTCTGCTGCGCCACCGCGGCCGTCACCGATGGCGCAACAACAGCAGCAACAGCCGCCGCAGCGACCACAGCAGCCAAAACCACAGCAGCAGCCACCACAACAGCAGCCTGAAGGCGACATCTATGCTGTCCCGTTCAACGTTGGCGATGCACCGGTGCGTTGCTCCTCTCGTGCTGCTGCCGAGTGACGCTGGATACATGTGTTTGTTCGTGGATACATGTGTTTGTTCGTGGATACATGTGTTTGTTCGTGAATACATGTGTTTGTTCGTGGATACATGTGTTTGTTCGTGGATACATGTGTTCGCGGGTACTGTCCCAATTCATGCTGCGGTTTTGTTTTGCATTGCTATGACTGCTTGCCCCTGATTTGCATGGGTTGACACCGTCACTTCCAACCGCCTTCGTGTGCGTGTGTGCGTGTGTGTGTGTGTGTGTGTGTGTGTGTGTATCTCAACAGAAAACGGGCACTCTGAAGCGTGGCCTGCCACCACCAAACCTGGGTGCGTTCCGACAGCATGCATAGACTGCGCCATATTGTGTTGTCCGTTGAACATCAAGTCAACTTTCCCAACTGTACACGTTCTCACTTCATGGCCTCAATGCCAATCTATGTGACCACGGTCCTGATCGTGCGTGTGTATGCATTTTTCCATGTTTGTATGTGTTTTTGTGTGTGTGTGTATTATTCAGCGCCCGAGCTGCCGCCACGCCCACCAATGCCGGCACAGGACAGTGCACAACAGCAGGTGAGCAGCAGCCGCCGCAAACATTTGCAAAATAGCACTCCCTCACACAGACACACCCTCACACACAGACACAACCTCACACACATACAGACACAGACACATACACGCACAGACACATACACGCACACATACAGACACAGACACATACACGCACAGACACATACATGCACAGTCACATCTCCCTCACGCTCACGCGCACTCACATGCACTTTGCTTTGCTTGCACGGTTACCAGGCTGATGCCCAATCACCAGAAGGACATCGCGCACGCGGGGGCTCGGTGGGTTGACACGCACCTTGATGGAGCTCACACGCACAAACAAACGACCCGTGGCTGTGTGACCATGTTGCCGCCGATTGAACTTCTGCACATCAAAGTGTTCACAGACACAGACACACATACACAGACATACAGACACACAGACACACAGTCACACAGTCACTCACTCACTCTCCCTGCTTGCAGATAACACCTGGGATGATTGCGTCTGTCCCTGAGACGCTGCGCGTGAGTCTGATGGCGAAGGTCAAGGCTGGCACCATAAGCATGCAGGATATGGCTGCACAACTCAAGGCATTCTCGCAGAACACGTCAGTCATAATCTCGTGGTGCCCGGGGTGCTGATGATGTGTTTGGTGTCTGCTGCGTGTGCGTGTGTGCGTGTGTGACCGTGTGTGACCGTGTGTGACCGTGTGTGACCGTTGGTGTCGTTTGTATGCAGATTTATCGCTTGGCATTCACCCTGTTGTCTTACACCACATGGGCACACCCCTTTTGGTTACTGTGCGGAACTGATTGCGTCTTCGCAGTGAGGGACAGCAGCAACAGCAGCAGCCCCAAGCGCCACAGCAGCAGCAACAACAGCAGCAACAACAGCAGCAGCAACAACAGCAGCAACAACAGCAGCAGCAACAGCAGCAGCCTGAGCCGATTTTGGATCAGGGAGCAATTTACGCGGAATGCGACGCAGAGCCCGCACAGCCAGTGCGTTTTATGTGTGCATGTGGTTGTGTTTGGGCGTGAATTGATGGTTTGGCAGTGCGTGTCTGTGTGAGTGCATCGGATGCAGCGTGCTTGCGAATTTTGTATGCTTTGTTCACCATGTTTGACCAACTCAACACGCTCCTCACTCTTCACCACCGCCATCACCGCCATCACCACAATCATCACCACCACCATCGTCAGGCGGCACAAGAGCAGGAGGACCTGTTGTACGATGATGGGGACAATTTGCAGTCACAGATCGCTGCAGCCCGCGCACCGCCACCGCTGCCTCCGCCATATGCGGGCACATCAGCCGCAACCACGGCACAGCAGCAGCCGGCACACATGCACGCGCCTGAGGACGATGTTGGTTTTTTACCCATTTGCAGTTGTTGTATCGGTCATCACTTTGTGTTGACAAAGCACGCCAAAACTTATTGCACGCATGCACACAAACACAGACACACACACAGACACACACAGACACAGACACACACACACACAGACAGACACACACACAGACACACACAACACACAGACAGACAGACACACACACACACAACACAATGTCCTCACCCCTTCCATATTGTCCCGCACCCCATGAATGATCTCGTCACATGTGTTTAGATCTACACGGACGTCGATGAGCAGCGGACACCAGCGTATGGAGGACCGCGGCCCGTTGCACAGATGCCAGCAGACACATACGCAGCGCTGCCGAAGAAAGGTGCGCTTGTGGAGAACATTGTGGAGCGTACAGAGCGTGGATGTAGCTCGTGTGTGCGCATGCTTGTACTTGTGTGTGCTTGTGTTTGTTTGTTTGTTTGTCCGCGTGCGCTTGTGCGCTTGTGTATTCGTGGACACGCACGTGCTGGTGACTTGAGGATGCACCATTCACACTCCCGTATGCGCTCGCTCTCTTGCTTGCTATTCCACTCGCGGTTTTCAAATTGCGCGGCAGAGGAAGCGCTGCTGCAGAATGCGATGGGACTGCTTGGCAGTCTCGCACCGCAACCGACGGACGATGGCCTGCGACAGCTCATCGCCTGCCTGTCTCTGCAGGGGCTGGCCGAGTTTGCCAACCCATTGAAGCAGCAGGGTACGCTTGCTATCGTGTGCGCTTCACTGTGTTTGGGTCCTCACGCTTGTCTTGTGTGCAGTGCTTGTACTTGAGCTCTTTCCTTGGTGTGTTTATCTTGATGCCCCAACATCTCTCTGTCTCTCTCCCACCCGCACTCACTTACACACAATCTCTCTCTCTCTCTGTCTCTCTGTCTCTCACTCACTTGCACACACACACACACACACACACACACACACACACACACACACACACACACACACACACACACACACACACACACACACGCACACACACGCACATACACACACACAACACACACGCTCACCCATCCACACCCAACACACACACATATATGTTGTCAGGTTACGAGGACCCATCGTTCCTGGTCGACGCAACAGCGGATATGCTGGTTGGCCCAGGCCTCGCTCCAGACACAGCCGTGAGTGTTTATCAATGCACCAGGCGCACTGGAGTCTCTTGGTTCTTCTTGCTGTTCGTTGTGAGGAGTGGTGGCAGGGTGATGGCGTGTTGTGTCGCTTTGCAAGCTTCGTTTATTGTGCGCTGATGTGCGCGCAAGCGCACGCGTGTAACGTGACACAACCAAGTTGGTCGGTACAAAATAACCAGCCATATGTACAGCAACCCAACACCACCTGTGCTAACGAACACACAAACGCACGACTGCTTCTCTCTATCCTGCATGTCGATGTTGCGCTCAAAACTCCCAGACGGCACAACGCATCATTAACGCTGCCACCTCCTTCGTCGCCTCCGCCTAATCCCAAGCGCGCACAAACATTCACAACGACAGACATTCGCACACACATATTCGAAGACACTCGGAGATGTAACGATGCGTTTGCTTGCGATGTTTTCCCATTGGCAGCTGCGCCTTTGGTGCGGCGCACTTTTTCCTTCATCTCTGTTTCCTCCCATGCTTTCCATCATGTTCCCGCCCTTCTCCTTCCTCTTCTCGGAACACAAATACACTGTCAGTCATACCAGTGGACGCATCATCACATCACCACATCATCATCGTCGCGTCTGTCATTCGCTCAGTGCGCTTGTTGCTGCTGTGCTTGTTTGCGAAGGCGAGGCGCGCACGCTTTGCAACATCGTTGCGGTTCAGGATATCCACGCACATGCATGTGTGCTTGACTGCAATCATCGCAAACCACCTGCGTGTGTATGTGAGAGTGTTCATATTCGCATGGGCAACAATGGACGATGGAACGTGTTGTTGTGAGCGGGCATAGTGATAAACAGACGCACCAGCAGCAGCAACACGACCATCGAAAATATGAGTCGCAAGCACGGCGCACCTTGCCGCACTGTCGACAGTGGTGTTTGCGGAAGAAGAATGAAAACTCGGATTTGCAGAACGGGCACGTGTGCACGGTGTCGTCGTCCTCCCACGATTCCTGCGGCACAGGCCGAAGCTCATCCTGCGCATCACATGTGTGCATGGGTGGTCTAGTTTGTTCACTGTTTTCAAGACAAGTGCACACACAGACACACACACACACACAGACACGGGCACAGACACACAGACGCAGACACACACACACACACACACAGACGCAGACACACACACCTCCTTGAGTTGTGACGTGACGTGATCGGACCACAACTGCGCCTTTGCCATCGTTCGCGTCACGAGATCCGCGCGCAGCCCTTCGTTCTCCTCCTGCAGTTCGTCTCTCGCTTTGGTCACTTCTTCCAACTTACGCTTCGACTGCACACACACACACACAGACACACAGACACATACACAGACACACAGACACACACACACAAACACACAAACACACACACACACAAACACACACACACACACAGACGCACACACAGACGCACACACAGACACACAGACACACACACACACAGACGCACACACAGACACACACATGCGTCGACGCGTGAGGGGGAAGGGGGGAATGGAGCGCACGAGTGCAGAGAAAGCACCATGAACGTGAAAGGCATGGGAGAAGAAGGGACAGCATTTAAAACAACATGATCACACAACTTTTCACACCTCGTCCAGATCCGATTGCAAGCGGGCGGTTTCTGCCTCAGTGGCGCCAATTTCCTCGTGCAGTTGGCGCGTTTTCGCGTCCACTGGCAATTGTCCATGGAAGATGAGATGGCAGGAGAAGAGAACAGCGCCAATTTCAATGCTTAGGAACATGAAACCAGAACACATACACACAAAGGTGCAAACAAGGCTGGTCTTGCATGGCGTACGTTGTTTGTTGGTTTCCTTCACCATTTGAAGCTCCTGCGTCAGCATTTCGCGCTCGCGAGCACTTGCAGCGGCGCTGAGGGTGAACAGGCACGAGGGAGCGAGGAGTGAGTTGCGGTAATGCTAGAACAATGTGCGACACCAAGAGCAATCGAAACAGATGAAATGTCAAGGGCAAACCGACGCAGAGCGAAGTGCAGATGAAACATACTGCTTCTCAGACGCAAGCTGCACATGCTTGAGTTCGTCTTGAAGATCCTCACGCTCCTTCTCAGCGGACCGAAGGCGCATTTTGAGATCGCTCAACTCAAAACGACACGCATCATAGTTGCTTTGCAGCGTCGCCAAATCGAGGGAGTGCTAGGGAGAATAGACCGCAAATTGGGAAGGGGTGGGTAAGCAAAATGAGAAAGAGGAAAGAATGTGGCGACTTGCAAAAAGGAGCAGCATGACCAGAAACGAAATGAAAAGAGACTCAAACACACCTTGTTCGATGACTCTTCCAAATTACCGGAAAGACCGGAGAGACGTTGCTCCAATTCAGAAACAGTTGTGCGAGACGCCTGTAGCTCTTCTTCAAGAACTGTCTTTGCCTCACCGAGCTCGCTCACCTGCTGATTGGCGGCCTCAAGCTTGCTCGTCACGCTCTCCTGCGCCTCCGTGCTTTGCCTTAGCTTGCTCTGCAGCTCCTTCACAAGCGCCTCGCTGTCACCAGCACTCTTTTCCAGTTGCACCTCAAGCTCCTTCACACGTGTCTCGTGCTGTTCCTTGGCATCCGCAAGCTGCGTCTCGTGCTGTTCCTTGGCATCTGTAAGCCGTGTCTCCAGCGCTGTCTTTGCCTCACCAAGCTCGCTCACCTGCTGCTTGGCGGCCTCAAGCTCGCTCGTCACGCTCTCCTGCGCCTCCGTGCTTGCCCTCAGCTTGCTCTGCAGCTCCTTCACAAGCGCCTCGCTGTCACCAGCACTCTTCTCCAGTTGCGCCTCAAGCTCCTTCACACGTGTCTCGTGCTGTTCCTTGGCATCCGCAAGCTGTGTCTCCAGCTGTTCCTTGGCATCTGTAAGCCGTGTCTCCAGCGCTGTCTTTGCCTCACCAAGCTCGCTCACCTGCTGCTTGGCGGCCTCAAGCTCGCTCGTCACGCTCTCCTGCGCCTCCGTGCTTGCCCTCAGCTTGCTCTGCAGCTCCTTCACAAGCGCCTCGCTGTCACCAGCACTCTTCTCCAGTTGCGCCTCAAGCTCCTTCACACGTGTCTCGTGCTGTTCCTTGGCATCCGCAAGCTGCGTCTCGTGCTGTTCCTTGGCATCCGCAAGCTGTGTCTCCAGCGCTGTGTTTGCCTCACCAAGCTCGCTCACCTGCTGCTTGGCGGCCTCAAGCTCGCTCGTCACGCTCTCCTGCGCCTCCGTGCTTGCCCTCAGCTTGCTCTGCAGCTCCTTCACAAGCGCCTCGCTGTCACCAGCACTCTTCTCCAGTTGCGCCTCAAGCTCCTTCACACGTGTCTCGTGTTGTTCCTTGGCATCCGCAAGCTTCGTCTCGTGTTGTGTCTTGGCATCCGCAAGCTGCGTGTCATGGTCGTTTGTTATTTGAGCGACCTGCTCTGTTAACGCGCTGTTGTGACTGTGAGCTTCTGCCAAGGCTCTCTCCAAGTCAACAATCCTTTGCTGCAGCTGCGCTGCGTCTTCTTCCTGTGCCGGGGCGACCTTGTGCGGTGTGGCAACGGTGTGGCCATTGCTGTTTGGTAGGGGTTGTGTATCAGTTTCCTCTTGGGCGACTGGTTGTTGCTGCTCGTCTGTTGCGGCGTCGTGTACTTCCCATTCTGGCACGTGCATGGACGATGACGGGCTTGGGGGCCAGTCCGCGTCAATGTCGGCACCGTCTGGCAGGTCTGCGAGTTGGAAGGTGAGATTGTTGAGGTGGTAGAGCAGGTCCATGAGGTCTGCCTGTGTAGCCTTCTCCCTGAGCAGAGCGCCCTCGCTGTAGAAGTCCTTGATGGCCCGCGTGTGCTGGGCTGCGATTTGGATGCACTCGGCAAACTCACGCGTGGTGAGGGCGTGCCGGATGAGGAGTCTGCCTTTGCCGGCGCTTGTTCGAGCTGGCATCTTTAACAGCCGTGGCTTTGTCTTCTTGAGAGCGGCCTCAAGAAAGTCAAAGTAGTCCTTCCTACCCCCGAAGAAGGAGGATCTGCGCGTGTCATGTCACAGTGTCACAGGGTACAATAGCGTTTGGTCGGTGAGTGTGCGCGTGCGTGTGTGTGTGTGTGCGTGTGTGTGTGCGTGTGCGTGTGCGTGTGCGTGCGCGTGCGTGTGCGTGTGCGTGTGCGTGTGCGTGCGTGTGCGTGTGCGTGCGTGTGCGTGCGTGTGCTTGCGTGTGCTTGCGTGTGTGTGCATGTGTATATGTGTGCATGTGTGCAGGGGTGTGCTTGAAGATTGTCATGCAAGTCTTGGTGGGGACTGACTTGGACGAGAGGCCACAGCGCAGCACGGCCTCCAAGCACAGGCAGAGCGGGCGCACGCTCGGATGGCTGTCGGTCAACTCATCCTGTGCATGCTCTTCCAGGATTGTGTGCACCTGCGTGCGCAGCTGTCGTGCATCCCATCACACACACACACACACACACACACACACACACACACACACACACACACACACACACACACACACACACACACACACACACACACACACACACACACACACACACACACACACACACACACACACACACACACACACACACCCCCCGCAGTCGTGTTACATTAGCTGTTGCCAACAGAGTCAAACCATGCACGCACATCCCAGTACACAACCCAAGGAGCAATGGCACACAGTGCCATCAAGGGCTTCACCTATCACCCTCTCACCTCCTCCAGAAGCCGTCCTCCCTCCATCGCCATTGCGTGAAGGGTGTTTGTTGGTGTTGTGGCGAGTGCGCGATTTCAGTGATGGTTGTTGTTTGGTTGGTGCACTGCTTTGAAGCGCGGACCAAGAAAGAGGTTTTAAACAGGTGATGACTGCACCACATGCACACTGCACAGAGATACGCACAAGGCACACACTCACAGACGTATGTGCACACACACGGGCACGCACACGCGCACGCATATATGCGTGCGCGCGTGGGTCAGCGAAACGAGGTCAACCAAAGAGGCAGTGCTTGAACTTGTCTGCGTTATCAATGTAGTCTTGCAACTCTGTCTCCGGCACCCACGCGTAGTCGGTGACGTCTGCCGTTGGCGCGTACGCCCCTTGCACCAGCATGCACCGCAAGTAGAACGTCTGCACGTGAAGTGATGTGCGTGTGTGTGAGTGCATGCGCACGTTAGAACACCGTCAGATGCTGTTGCTGGACAGGCAAGCAAGGATGTACCACAAAGGCTCGTTCGCACACACACACACACACAAACACACACACACACACACACACACACACAGAGAGACACATACACACAAATACATTCACACACACGACACGGGAGCGAACAGAGTTGTGGGGGCTGCGTACGTATTCGTCTGGCGCGTCGTTTGAAGACTTGTTCACCTGCAAGTCAGTTCCCAAAGGTTCAGAGGGTGCACATACATGTCAACGCATGTCAGCACATGCGCACAACAGTGTACACCATGAAGCAACAACACAAAACGCGGCACACTTTCGATGATAACCATGCGTGCGGGGGTGCCATTTTCAACCACGTATGTTTGTGTTTTGATAGCGTTCACTAACGGTGTGGTAGCATGGCGCGTTGCCAATGAAGTACGTCTCAAAGTCGCCCGTGGTATCGCCGTTAACTGTGGCCATGGCATTCTCCGCGCACTGTGCAGTGAACGAACACGGGAAAGGTGAGGGCATGACAGGGGCACGGCCCCAATGTGAGCGCAGCTGGGTTGTTCCTCAACAGTGCGAGAACGAGCCAGTGGCCGAGCACGCTGCGGGCGGCAGGGCATGGAAAGTGACATACCGCACGAATGGATTCCTCGTTGGTCAGCGGCAGTTGTGGAAAGTGCCAGACATCGCTCTGCTTCGTCTTGATGAGGAGGTAGAGCTTCGATGACAGACACCTGTTGAGGGACTTTGTGTTGTGCGCGCGGTCATCCTCAGTCTCCAGAGGCGCAGGCTCAAACTCCACAGGTGCAGTGTCACTTGCATCGCTGTTGGGGAGTTGTGTGTGTGCGTGCGTGCGTGCGTGCATGCGTGTGCGTGTGTTGTTGTTGGGGGGTCAGCAAAGCTGAGCGGTTCTCAGGTGCACAAGCACGCAGACAGACAGAAGACACACACACATACAGATACAACCCCACCACCCACACCCACACACCCACACAGACGCAGACACATGTTTGCACTTACACAGCGGCTTGCTCGGTGGCTGTTGCGGCGGAGGAGTCTTGCTCTTCGCCCTGTTCCTGTTTCTGGTTTGACTTCTTGCTCTTTTTCTTCTTCTTGCTTCCGCCCTCTTGCTCCACCAACATCTGCAGGTACTCCTCAAAGGACACAGCGGACTTCTCCTCATCCATCTGCCGGGAAAACTCCTGGAACTTCTTCTCAAACGGGGTCAGTGCCGGCTCCGAGAGAGGGTAGCGCTCCAGGATCACGCCAACCTTCACGGCAGGCTTCGTCGCTGGCCCACCACCACCGGTTGCAAGTGATCGCACGTGCCTTCCACTGTTCATCGTCATCACCATCCCCGCCCTGTTTGTTGTCCTCGTCACGTGCTTTGCATTGCTTCTGCCACCTTGCAGTGCAGCAGCGCACACTCGCAGCAACCCGCCTCGCACACCCAATCTCGTGGCCATCGTGCACACGCTGTATTGCCTTCTTTGCGCTTGGAAAAAGGACGGAAAATGATGACAAACGACAGCACAAGAGAGAGAGAGACAAGAGGTTTACTTCACTTCAATTAATAGTGTCGGTAACAAGGAGACTGATTTCAGTCAAACATGGCATCAAGGTCTTCCAGATCGTCGTTTGCGTCCGCGCTTGTCGCTTGCGCTTCCATCTGTTGGTGTGAGCGAGCGAGCGAGGGAGTGAGTATGCGTGTGTGCGTCCGTGTATGTATGTATGTATGTATGTATGTATGTATGTATGTATGTATGTATGTATGTATGTATGTATGTATGTATGTATGTATGTATGTATGTATGTATGTATGTATGTATGTATGTATGTATGTATGTATGTATGTATGTATATATGTGTGTTTGTGAGTGATTCGGTTTTACCCTCACACCCGTGCCCTTGGCTGTGTCAGCAGCCAACAAACCTGTTTACGTCGCTCTCTCTCTTCCTCGCGGAGGCGTTCACGCTCCTGCAGTTCCTGCTCGCGGCGCTGCGCCTCTTCTTCCTGCTGCTGCTGCTCTCGCTCCGCACGCCGCCGTGCCTCCTCCTCTCGCCGCCTGCTCAGCAACACACGCAATACAAACAAACATAAATGCGTGGTTGCGTGTGAGGAAAAAGGGGGTGTATTGATGAGCGTGCTTGGGCAGCAAACGCACGCACACACGGGCTTACGCGCGCGCGCACACACACACACACACACACACACACACACACACACACACACTGCCTTTCCCCCACAAACACCCCAAATGCCCTTTTTTACCTTGCTTCCTCCTCAGACTGGCGCCGCTTCTCCTCTTCCTCCTGCTGGCGGGCCTGTTCCTCCTGCTGGCGCATGCGTGCAGCCGCCTCGCGGGCCATCCGCTGGCGCTCTTCCTCAGCGGCCTTGTGCTGCTCAAACTTGGCCAGGTCGGCAGCCAGCGCGTCGTCAGATTTGTGTGTGTCGGTCGCCTCCTCGTCATCCTCGTCATCGTCCATCACCCACCCGCTGCATGGATTGAACGGCATTTGTTGCAGCAGTGTGGACAATGTAAGCACAGGAGACGTGACGCACATGGCTGAAATGCAACACACACATCCACACACACGCACACACACACGCTTCAAGCATACCCCCCCCACAAACATCCACACACACACACACACACACACACACACACACACACACACACACACACACACACACACACACACACACATCAAGCACTCACACGCACACCAACCTTGCGTCGGTGGATGCGGCAATGTCGTGTTCTTTGATGGCGCTGGACGCCTGTACGAGTGAAAAGTCCTTCTCTTGTGTCGTGTCTTCCTCCTCCTCTGCGTCGTGATGAGGTTGTTCCTCCTGTTTGGGCTCCTCCTTCTTGCTGGGCCGGCGGTGGTGCGTCGACGCCCGCTTGGTTGGCGCTACACACACGCAGCAAAGGAACCAAGAACACGCGCATGGAAGACACAACGAGTGATGCTGGTGAGTGCTCGTGCACAGAACGACAATGAACCACACACCACATCACACGCACACACCGGACGTGGAGAGAAGATCCTTTCAGGAAGAGAAAACACGAGAAACAAAAGGCCTCTCTCTTGTTGACACGTTGGGAAGCAAGCACTTGATGGCTGACAAGGTATAGAGGTTGCTCAAATATGCTATCATTTAATGGGGGGCAGAAAAAGGGGGAGCGAAAAAGAAAGGCGAGGGATTGGGCTGGGGACACACAACACGACACACCATGGACGTGGCATGCGGCCCACAAGCAAGAGAAGGAAGGAAGGAAGTACAAGGGAGGAAGTACAAAGGGAGACGGTAGCCGCCAAAGAATTATGCACAGAACAATGACGACATCGAGAAAAGCAACGACGGAGAGATGTGGCCCCCAAACGAAAAGCTACACACAGAGAGATGTGTACACAAGCGAGGAAAGAAGAGAGACCAGCCACCAGAAACATACGAGAGGGAAGAACAAATCGAGCGAGATGGCAAAGCGAAAAGGGAACAAGAGAGGCTGAGGAGAGCCAGCGAGCAAGCCTGTCTCTGTTGTGATTGGGCGGAAAGATGACGCCGGTGCATGCAAGAAGGCGCACACTCGTCCTCAACACGACAGCACACCCATGAGGGACTGTGGAGGGGGGGGAGGCTTCAAGCTGTTGACAGGCAACGCAGTGCACACGCAGTGTTGATGACACACGTCAGATGGGACAGTGCCGATCAATGCATGCAAAGAAGGACATGGAGCGGGGGAGAGGACGAGGAGAAAGGAGGAGAGAAGAGGGGGAGAAAAGGCACGCACGTGCGCGCGTGTGCAGAGCAACGACTGGGTGGCGAACACGGCTGCAAAGCCAAGCAAAATATTAACCAGAGGCAAAAAGAGGAAATAAAGCTAGGCTGGGAGAGAAATGTCATGTTGGACGTCGAGCACACGCCATCAATCGACACGTGACTTGAGAACAACAAAGAATGGGGTCCGGAGAAGGACGGGGGGGGGGCAAGGCGTGCACCGCAACCCAGAAATAACACAGATAGAGAGAGAAGGAGAAAAGAAAGCTGCGGGTTTGGTGGAGGGGAAGGGACACACCACGTGAACTACCTACGCACAGTGGTTCACGTTCACACCAACAAAAAATCGTAACCATGTAGGAGGGAAAGGATCTTCTCTCCGGCAAACAACAGTCACCCACACCGCTCAGACACAACGAGGACGACGACAACAACACAAGTGTCAGTGTTCACAGAGCCGCGAGGGGCGGGCCATGGATGGGTGGGTGGATGGATGGGATTATGCCACACCTTTAAGGCAGTTGCGCACGTAGCGCTCGAGTTCGCGCAGGGTGCGGGGCCGCAGCTTGTCAAAGTCAATCTCAATCTCGTCCGGGTTGGTGTGGGTGAGGGATGGCTCGTAGTTCTTGATAATCTGCACCACGCGCGGCAGCTTCTCCATCGGCAACTGTCACGTGCAAGTGGAACAAGTGGAAGGAAGGAGGAACGCGGGCGTGAGCGTGAGTGTGTGTGTGTGTGGTGGGGGTGGGGGGGGAGGGAGAGGGAGAGGGAGAGGGAGAAGGTGGAAGAATACAAGTTAGTGAGTGGTTCATTGAGTGTGTGACATGCGTTGTGCGTTCAAGACATTCATCGCGTTGAAGACATTCATCAACACTTGAACAATCATAACTTGTTCGCAGTCATGTCACGTACAAGTGCACAACAAACAGTGCAAAATATCCTCTGTTCACCCACACGCTCATGCTCCCCCTCCCCGCTTACGTTGTTGATATCGAGGCTGAGCTGTCGTTTCTGGTCGTATGTGAACGGGGTGTCGTCGTCCTCCTCATCCTCTGACGATGACGATGAGCCAGAGTCGCTGTCTGACATGGCTGTCACAGACCGCTGTGGCGGCGCCGCTTTTGGCTTTGGCTTTGCCGCGGGCTTGGCCTTTGGCTTTGGCTTTGGCTTTGGTTTTGCCTTTGGCTTTTGCTTCGCCTTGGCAGCAGCGCCACCGCCGCCACCGCCTGCCGGGGCCTTGCGTCCGCCCTTTGCCGGCGTCGACGCCTCTGTCTCGGCGCCGCTCGTGCCCGTGTCGTCGCTCTTGGCGCCCGCAGCACCGCCCTGGGGCAGGTTGAACACGCCCGACCCGACCGCAGCCGTGATGGCCTGCAGCTGCTCCGGCGTCAAATTCGCCAGCGCAGACGCCGCAGCAGCGGTGCTGGACGCCGCAGCGGACGATGACGACGCTGATGATGCGCCGCCCTTGCCGCCGCTGGCCTTGGTGGTCTTCTTTGACTTTGAGGCGCGGGAGCTCGCCCCGGCCTTCTTGCTTGTCGACTGCTGCTGCTTCTTTTTCTTCTTCATCTGCTTCTTCTTCTTCTTTTTGGAGAGGCGGTCCTTGTACATGTTGGCCAGGAGCACCAGCGGGTCCACGCTGTCCAGGTCGAGGTCCGAGTCAGACTCGGATTCAGACGACGAGGCATCGCTGTCGTCAGAATCAGACGTGTCCACCTGCTTAGCCTTCTTCCGCTGCCGCTTCTTTGTTGCCGACGCCGTGGGCTTGCGCTTGCCCGAGCCGCCGCCGCCACCAGCGCCTGCCTTGCCGCCCTTGGCCTTTGACGCCGCCGCGCCTGCCTTGGCCTTGCTTGTCTTGCCTTTCCCTGCCGTTGCTGCAGCAGTTGATGTCGTTGTCTTTGCGCGCTTGGCCGGTGCCTTCGCTGCGGATGCTGTGCGCTTGGGCTTTGCTTCCTCCACATCTTCCTCCTCCGCTGCCGAGTCGCCCTCGGCATCGTAGTCCTCGTCGCTGTCGCTCGTGTCGTCGTCACGCCCGCGCCTGCGACGGCGCTTGCCCCGACCGCCGGCACCTGCGCCCGTGCCTGTGGTTGTGGCTGTGCCACCGCTGAGTGGCGTTGGCGCGGCCGACGCCTTTCGCGTTGCTGCTGGGGTGGCGGCCGCAGACCCGCGGCGACTGCCGGTGGAGGGCTCGTCCAGCTGCGCAGAGGCAAGGCTGTACTCAAACACCTGAGGATCATTGTGATCGTGAACAAGGGAAGGAGAGGGGAAGGGCGATGAAAGCAAGTGGTGTGAGACATGTGAGCGGTGTTGGCGGGTGATGTGGGGAAGTGATAAACGAGTGGGGATGACGCAAAGTGAAAAAGGCATGGAGGATTCGTGTAATCCGGAAACGGCAAACCACAGCAACAACGATGCACGAGAGCAAAGGAGGGGACAGCAGTGGCGGACGACAACGAACAAATAAATGGCAGCGGGCAACCACACACATTCGCACTGCTACACGTACGTTGTGGAGCTTTGTTGCCATGCCAAAGACGGGGTCTGTGCTCGGGTTGTACTTGTAGCAATTTGAAAACACGAGCCTGACGTCCGCGATAAACGAGTCGACGTCCGAGTAGTGGCCCGACTCGATGCGCTTCTTCACCGTGCCCAGGTCCATGGGCGTGTCCACAAAGTCGCGGTAGTCCGAGAGCCCGAGCTCGTCCGCCTTGACGGGCTCGTAAAACGGCCACGCGTACTCGGCGTGCTTTTTGCTAAACAGCTCCGAGATGATCTTGCGGCACTCGCGCAGGGCCTTGGTCTGCGGGTGGTTGGCTGGGCTTGGCAGGTCACGGGTTGGCGGGCGGACGGTGCGACGCGAGTGGCGGCGCGCATACACGCCGTTGCCCGGGGTGAAGGGCGCAGGCCGCGGCGTCTGCTTGGGCAGCATCGTCGCAGCAAGTGACACGTCCATCTCCGGCTGCGGGAGGCGGTGCAGACAGCGCTCAAATGCAGTCTCCAACTCGCGCGCCTTGATATGTACAGGCTGCGACAGTTCAAGGGATGTGGAGGGGAGAGTGGTGCAATGTGGTGGGGGATGGATGGATGAGGAAGCGTGGGGATGGGAATGAATGAGGCACTCGAAAAAGGGCCCAACAGTAGAAACACAAGACACCAGAAACCGAACAAACACACAACACACACAACACACGCCAAGCAAGCTGGATGTTGAGCTTTACGTTGGTTGCTGGGTTGTAGACGAAGCAGTTGTTGAGCATGAGGTGAATGTCATCGATGCATTCCTGAGCAGATGTGTACGTCCTCTCCTTCAGCTTCTTGCTCACGGTGCCAAGATCCATGGGCTGCTTGATAATGGTCGGGTAGTCCTGGTAGTGGTGGTGGTGGTGGTGGGGGAAACACATGATGATGATGATGATGATGATGATGAGAAACACGGTGTCGCAGAGGCCAGAGGCCCAGAGTCGGAGAAATCACGAGGTGATGCGTGCGTGTGGTCGTTCGCGCGGTCGCTCGCAGCAGCAGCGCGAACAAAGACTAACGGTACAGCAACAGCAGCAGTAGCACACAGCAGCAACGTTACCGTTTGCGTGCATGCAAGCAAGAGCAGGCAGGGGCTGGAGATAACGTACAGGGATGTTGAGGGCCTTCCAATCGACAGGCTGCGCAAACCAGTGCTTCGAGTCGAGTGCGGACAGGCGTTTCAGCACGACATCCTGCATAAACTTGAGCTGGTTCGTCCACCTGCCACGCGGCTTTGTTGCAGACGAGGACGCAGAGGGCGTTGCGGGCGCTGGACTGGGCGCATCGCTCGGGGTTGAGGACACAACAATCGGTGACGGCTGTGGCTGTTCCGATAGCGCCGTGGAGTCTGTTCTCGCTGGCTCTGTCGACGGCAGGTGCTGCTCTGCGGCCGCGGCCGTCGATGTGGTTGATTGTGGCGAGTGCGGTGCAGGCGTTGACGCCGACGATTGGTGTTGGTGCTCTTGCTGCTGTGTGTGTGTCGTTGGTGTGTCTTGGCTGGTGTCATTTGTGGCTGCGTTGTTGGTGTCATCCACGCGGGCTTTGTTGTTGGCGGTGTTGGTTGCTGGCTCGGATAGCAATTTGTTGTTGTCGGTTGTGTCTGCAGAGGTGGTGGTTGATACTGCTGCTTGTGGTGCGGAAGACGCAGCAGCGGTGGTGGTGGTTGGGTTGTCGGTGGTGCTTGTCAAGCCAGGCCCCGTGTCCGCAGACGAGGTGGGCAAGGTGGAAGGGTCCATGGCTGTGAGCGTCATGAACTCGGCCGACTGGCCCTGTGTAGTTTTGGTTGGGTGTGCGTCAGGCGAAACAAGGCACAGCGACAGCCACGGCGGCGACGATGGCCAGCATACGGGGGTATGCGGTGGAGGGTGGATGGGAACGAGTGCGTGCGTGCGCGTGTGTGCATGGGGCAAGGAGGGGGAAAGAGAGAATCAGCTCTTGCGTGTTTGCAGCACACCAATGACATCATCCGCATGCATGCATGGTGTAGGTCAACACACACACAGCCGCCACCAAACAAGGAAAAGAAAGATAGAAGCTGGGTGTGTGTGTGTGTGTGTGAGGGGGGGGGAGAGATGGCGTCGGAGAGGGGGTTGTTGTTGGTGGCCGTGGTCGTGTGTGTATGTGTGTGTATGTGTGTGTATGTGTGTGTGTGCTGTGCACCCCTTCAGGCCTCCATCACTCTCAAGCAATCATGCTCGCAGGTGGTGGTTGGTGGTGTGCGCTTCCAAGAGGGCTAAAGGAAAACGTGCAACAGAGAGAACACGAAAGAGGAGTGGCTGTGGTTGGCAATGGTGGTGGTGGTGTGGGTGACAGTTGCAGCGGCACACAACACGGTGGCTGTGCCTGGCTGGCTGTGTGTGTGTGTGTGTGTGTGGTGGTGGTGATGACCCCGCTCGCTCGTGCTCGTGCTCGTGCGCTTGCACTTGCCTTTGCTGGCTGACTGATGGGGACACCCACTGGCAGGCTGGCTGACGTGAGCACAAGAGTGGGAGAGAGTGTGTGTGTGACAAAGAGTTGAGGGCTGGGCTGCTTCTTGCTGGCTCAAACGAGGCGCGGTTGTGTGGGTGAGCGAGTGGGTGTTGCAGGTCCTTGCGCGAGTTGCAGCCAACGTGCGTGAGAAGGAAAAAAAAAAGTGCGAAAAAAAAAATAAACAAGCAAAAGCGCAAAAGGCAAAAGGCGGACACGCTTGCAGCGGTTGTGAGGGCTTTTGTTTGTTTCGCGGGCAGGTTGGAAAATGAGCAATGCTCCATTCACAACAAGGATGTGCGGCGGCCGTTGCTGTTTGTGCTTGCTTGTGTGTGGTTTGTTTTGTTCTGTTCTGTGTGTGTCTCGTCTCTCTGTGTGTGCGTTGCTCGGCCCGCCAAAAAAACCGGCCGTTTTTCATGCATGTTGGTGGTGTTGCTTCTGCTGTTTTCTGTGCGTTTGCGTTGTCGACGATTTTTGGCGAACAACTGATCTGCGGACATCTTTCGACGGTTCTCGAAAGATGTCCGTGACCACGTGGACGATTGCTGCAAAACACGGAAATCGTGTTTAGATTTTTCGTGGTGTGAATTAATTGTGCTGTCGCAAACCCTCTGGTTCGGCGGACGCTGCTGAACCGCGATTAGTGTGTGTGTGTGTGTGTGTGTGTGTGTGTGTGTGTGTGTGTGTGTGTGTGTGTGTGTGTGTGTGTGTGTGTGTGTGTGAATGTGTGTGAATGTGTGTGTGTGTGAATGTGTGTGTATGTGTGTGTGTGTGTGTGTGTGTGTGTGTCTGTGTGTCTGTGTGAAAAGTTGCCTGCCTGCCTGCCTGCCTGCCCTGCCCTGCTTGATTACCTGATTACCTGCCCTGCTTGATTGCCTGATTGCTTGTATGTCCATCTATTTGTTCTTCCATATCTCGCTTTGTCCATCATCGGTCACTTTGTCTACATCTCGCCTTTTCTCATGCCTTGCATTGTGTGCGTCGGTTTTGCTGATCCCCCTTCCCGCACAATGTGTGCAGGCACGTCTCAGCCACGCTCTCCGTGTTGCGCGCTTTCCCGCTCCCCTTGGTGTGATGCGGGGTCCACTGGCAGCGTTCTCCGCGTTCCGGGGACCCGCGCGCGTGGGCAGCGCGCATCTCCAAGCATGCATTTACTACCAGTCTTGCTTTGACGTTGTGTGGGGCCTCTTTGCCATCATCACCACAGCCATGCGCCCCGTACGTGAAAATGTTTGGGTGTTGGGCGGGAGGGGGATTGTGGGTGTTGGGGGGATTGTCTGTCTTTTGTGTGTGTGTGTGTGTGTATGTTTTGTGAGCAGGGGATTGTATGCGTGTGTGTGTGTGTGCAGTTCGTCTGCGCACTGTGAGGTTTGTGAGTTTTGTGTGCATGTGTCCATTTGAGATCCTGTGTGCCATGCACTGTTGATTCATGCCAACGCACCACACTGTATCGGTTTTAGGGTGGGTTGAGTGGTCAAATGGTGCGAGCCATCATCTATTTCCTGCTGCTCAGTCTGGAGGTGGTGCGATTGCTCCTGGGAAACGCCGGCAACAAGCGCGAGAAGGTGCGCGCGCAGTTCATGTGTGCATGTGTGTGCGTGTGTGTATGTGTGTGCGCGCGCAGTTCATGTGTGCATGTGTGTGCGTGTGTGTATGTGTGTGTGCACGCGTGTGCGTGCGTATGTGTGAGGCTGCGCATTTGCGATGGTTGTTGTATTCGTGTATGCGTCACGATCACGATTATGTAAACGCAGGCGTCGTTTCCGCCGGCAAACACACAACACACACACAACACAACACAGCACAAATACACGCACAATCACTCACTCACTCACGTGCTCTCATCTCTACACACAAACACACACAAACACATATTGCGTAGGTGCTGCTGTTGGTTGCGTTTGAGCTGTTGACGTTTGTGCAGTCGACCATCATCTGGGTGGTCGTCTTTGTGTATGAGCCAAGACCACTCGAGTATGGCGGGAATATCCTGTTTGTCACGTTCATCCTCGGTACGTTGACAGATGGTGGTTATGTTGATGGTCGTGAATAAGCGATAGTGGTGGCGATGGCGGTTTGTGGTGGTGACAGACCATGGTAAATCGTGGTGAGCAGAGTCCGTGGTGGCATTGCCTGTCACTTGCGGCAACAGCCACACCCCAACATACTCGCCCGACCTCACTCTACATCTCTGTGTGGTCACCTGCATCCTTTTCTGTTGCGTCCTGCTCCTCCTCCTGCTCCTCCCCACCTTTCTTCTCTCGCATCCCATTTTCACACACACACACACACACGCACACACTGGCAGTGGAGTTTGTGGTGTGCTTCCCTGCGCTGTCGGCAATCAACCGGGAGGAAGTGAGCCGATTTGCCATGCTGTACCGGGAAACAACGCTCTGACACACACGGGTGCAGTCGCACGTGCTACACAAGCACACACACAAGCACACACACACACACACACACACACACACACACACACACACACACACACACACACACACACAATAGTCGTACACTTGTACACACGCGTATGTCCACGCCTTTGGTCCCTATGTACACACAACACGCACGCGCTTTCCCCTTTTAAAAACTGTTGCAATCTGATTGCCTTTGTTACATATCTTGTTTGTTTACATTAATTTAATTAACGATCCTTTTAGCGATTCACGTGCGTGCGTGCGTCGTCTATGTTAACGCGTCCTCCACGATGACACAACATCACACACACGCACACGCACACCTGGATGGCTGGCTGGAGAGATGGAGGGGAGGAAGGGGGGCAATGGGATGCTGTTGTTGCTGTGTATGTTGGCACGAGGCTACACAGCTGTGTGTGTGTGTGTGTGTGTGTGTGTGTGTGTGTGTGTGTGTGTGTGTCATGCTAGGTTGAGGATGGGATACAACTGGTTCATGCGTAGCTGCTGGCGACACAGCGGACAGCACCGCTGTGAATGCGTTTTAATACGTTTGAGTGTGTGTGTGTGTGTGTGTGAGCGTGAGTGTGTGTGAGTGCGTGAGCGTGTGAGTGTGTGTGGGCATGGGGATGAGAAGTCGACAAGATGTTGCGAGGCAACAACAGACGAAGCAATAGTAACAGCAACAACAGTAACAACAGCAGCAAGAACAGCAGCGACACTGTCCAGCACTATCAAGCAACGGTTGTCAGTTGCTCGCAGTAGCATGCATGTGTGCACACCTCTTGCTGCACCCAGGTCACGAGACATTGCCAGCAAGCAACATGCCCGCAAGCCGTACACGTTGTGTGTCGTCTTGGTCTGATGAACGAATGCACACATGGACGGGACGGCAGGGAACCCGACAGTGAGGGCGGGGATACACGCAACGGCACTGTGTTCATCACGCAACACATCATAGAACCACAAACAAACGCACACACACACACACATACACACACACACACACACACACACACACACACACACACACACACACACACACACACACACACACACACACACACA